ACTCTTCTATTCCCCCCCCCCTTCGACTTTTTTCACTTTGATATTTCTTCTCCTCTGTGAGGCCTGGAGTCACCTAAACGGCTAATGAAACTATCGAAATGCCTGCCATTTGATATAAATAAACTTCAAACAAAATAAAGTGTATTCATCATTCAATGCTTGCCTTATTTGAGCGCCTCTTGCCCAGTCACACAGATCTTTGCGAATTAAAATGGAATTTAGAGCCGACGAGCATATGTAATAGAATATTCGGTAAAATATATGCCATATTAGGAGAGAATCCGCGTGCACTTCTGTGACAAAAAAAGAAAGAAATAAAAACAAAAACAAATTTTAATTATTTAAAATATTTCACAAAAATTATGCCAGATAAAATTAACGAGATCCCACCTTGGAGGGTTTTGTAAATTTTATCAAGAGTGTTCATGAACCGATGGAAGTGGGGTTTTCGTCGAAGCCAGGTATTACGAGGTCGGAGACCACCAGCTGTCGATACTGTTAGAGCTTGACAGGACAAATTCGGGATTGGCTCGTACTCTAGTATTGCTCCTGTGATCAAATGCGGAGGTAACACAATTTCATTTAATCGTCCCATGAAAATCTAAATAGGCAGCATAGTGAATTACCCTTCTCAAGCATGATTGTAACCAAAGTAAGTGGGATCATAGACTAGACAAAATCGCAGAAATCAATTTAGCCCCGTTTCTGATATTTCTTTCTATGGAGACCTATAGCCTCCTTTATAATTGAATCGATTGAAAACAAACTTAACATGTAATTTATCTGATTGGCTCTCTGTTAAGCACCTTTAATGTGTGGGAAACTTCCAACAACAGGGGATATTTTACTGATATCAAACTAACGTCCATTCTAGGGTCTTGCGGCCAGGCAACTTGTCCCCATATCAGGTGGGGCAAATCGTTCGGTACATTTTATTATAATCGGATTGTTTTAAGCATTTAAATTAGGAACTGCGATCTTGCATAAATATATATCTATACTTACTCACTAACAAGATGAAAATCTACTTATTTGTACTCTGTGATGCTCTAATTTTGAGGTTTATTAGAAGAACTTTTCCACTTTCCTATAACATTAATATGCCACTTCCTTCAAATAAGAAGCCCCCGTGGAATTGCTCAAAATGTGATCACTGTTTGATCGAAATTTAGTGGTTCAGTGGGCTAATAACACAGCAGTCAATTAGCACGTCCATCTGGAAGTAAAATATAGAAACGGAACACGTGTAGAAGCAATTTAGTAACTCATACAATCAACCAATGGTTAGCTTTTATCAGTAAGTGAACTGATAAAAGTCTAGTTTCCATCAACCAATGTTGGTTCTCTTTGTACTCTCTTTAAAGGGATTGAGCAGAAGTTGATAATTTCATCTTCCAAATTTTTATTCACTTTGCCTTCATATGAATGCTCATTTGGGAGGAAATAGGTTAAAATTAAACATGCCGATTTGCAATGCATTACCTGAAGGCTAAGAGTGATGAAATCGTTGAAAATTGGCAGAAAGGGGTCAATATTGTAATTTTTAAGTGCGTAAAAGTCCTCTCCTTCTTCTTCTTCTTTTTCTTCAGCGGGTGTTTCTGAACCTCCTATTTTATCTTTGTCACCATATTGGTGGATACGACTTCGCAACCCAAAGATATTTACAATCCATAAGAGAATAACATCGTAGGTTGGGGATTGATTCTAGGAAAGATATTAAAGCCACATTTCAAAATGCAAATACAGGGTATGCAGATAGTTGGCGAGTTTTAATAGCCAAATTCCCAAATAAAAATAATGACATTTAGTGAAGACTAAAGAACAGCAACTTAAAGTGATTAATTGCAATCCTGCCCGCTTGGCTATCTGCTTACTTACACACAGTGGCGTGTGAACTCAATTCTGCAACTCAATGCCTTGGGTGAGGCGAGATTAGCTTAATGACAGCAAGTTGAGTACGGGTAAATAATTTAAAAAAAATATTTAATTATTGCAAAACACTTACAAGCAGTATTTTCTGTAGGTCTTCAAAAAGAACCTTAAGTAAAGTGGAGATTTGATATTCATCGTGCACTGCATCAGCTCCACGCAACAAGATGAACAAGAAATCGGCAACAAACAGGGGTGACCAGGATCTTATTATGGAAGGTTTACTGCCTAAAAATAATTTTCGAAAAAAAAGAAATAGTAAAACTGACATAAGATTATTAATTAATACTGGTAATAATGTTATTGCTAACTTACGACTTATCAGATAATTTATAAGCTCCGATTCTTTACCCTCTTGACAGCATATTAATTTTGATTTCGACTTAAAGTCATGCAATCCGTTCTATAAAGGGAATTGAAGCAAAATTAAGCAAACTTTACAAGTGCCATAGTAGTTAGAGTGTGCTCCGGTAATATTGTGATTACTGTCAATATCTACTAATTTTTTTCACGATGTTAATTCGTGCCCCTCCCAGTGAGAAGACTGACCAACCGTACTGAGCATATCTGATTAACCGAACGAGCAGAATACGAACTATCTACCCTCTATCAGTTTAATGAGTTTTTTACTACCAAAACCTATGATAGCTAATGAGCATTGAGTAGCCTATGCTCAAGTTCAAATGTGAAAATATTAGTTTCTGTGTTGTGCGCCAAACAACACAGTGATATGCCTAAAATTCACTGGAAATTAATTCTAACTCTACCATTTATTATTGGCCCAAATATATATCAATTTGGCAAAAATAAGGAACAGCTATTTATTTATTTCAAATAGCAGGCGTTATGATAGCTATCAGTAGCCATTTAGCTGACTTCGGGCTTCACAAAAGGAAGGTTCATCAAAGTAGCAGAAAGTCGAGGGGTGGAGATCAGCAGAGCGA